CTTATATTTTCTTGTAAACATTTTGTTAAGACATGTAAAATAAGAGTCAGTCAAATTTAACAATTTCTAACAGTTTTCTAGGGGCTGACTTTTAAAATTTAACAGTGAATTTATTTTTAAGATGTATCAAAAACTAGGTATTAGAAATTTGTAAAACAGGATGTTTCATCAAACATGTCCCGACTTTCGGTTTTCATAAAGAAGTTGTGAAGTAATTATGTAAGGACATTTTACAAAAATTAGAAACATATATTAACCATACCATTTTATCATTATAAAAGTTTCAATAACACTGAATCATTTATTCTTAAGACAAACTTTCAACATATGGATCTCTTTTTATTACTTGTTCCAAATGGCTGCCAATTTTTTTGATCGCAGACAAATTTTGCCACTAAAGCCCCATATTGCTCATATTTGGACACCATTTTAGAAAAAAAGCCTGTTTCCTAAAAAATTGCTTTATTCTCAAAATCCTATTCAATAGAATTGGGATTTTCCGTTTGCATTGTACTGACTTTAACAATATAAATACAGAGATCTCTTTTATTAGCCATTTAAAAAAAAAAAAAAAAAAAAAAAAAAAAAAAAAAAAAAAAAAAAAAAACATGATTTATGAGGTTGTAATCATGAAAAACAATTACATGTATGAAATTATGCTAAAAGTTTTAAATACTGATATGTGATTTTGAAGAATTTCATCATTAGAAATCAATTAAGCTGCGAGTATAAGGTAGATTTCCAAAAGTTAAATTAAAGCTAAGTTCTTCCAAAATACAGTTATAAAAATGAGTGTTACAGAAAAAGAAAATATTGTTTATACAAGCCTTGTCGGCTGGAACCATAACATATTGTTTATGTAATCTTTCTAATTTTTTTGACCGTTCACGGTAGCTCAGTCGGTAGAGCGCTCGCTCCGTGATCCGGAGGTCGTGAGTTCGAATCTCGGCCGCGACTGACCTATTTCGATAAAAAAAATGGGTAGCAACTGTTCCTTCGCCATGCGCTCGGCACTTTGAAGTGAAAATTGCGGGTCCTTCGGATGAGACCTTAAAAACCGAGGCACCGTGTCACGGCAGGCGTTGGCACGATAAAGATCCCTCACTGCTCAATGGCTCTGAGTGCCGAGTAAAGGTCAAAATTTGAAGTCCCTCACCGGTGTATGGTGACGTCTCTATATGAGTGAAAAATTCTCGAATGGGACGTAAAACAACAATCAATCAATCAATCAATCTAATTCTTTGACCACCTCCGATTTAGTGAACACGGGAGGATAGATGGTTGCATATTGCCTTTTAAATTTCTTATACGATTCTTTAATAGATTTCTAATTATAAAACCGTGATTTAATATTAAACATTACATGAAGGCAAAGATAGTCCTTTTCATATGTAGCCCAATGACTGGCATAATCTTCAACAGAATTTGTAATAGAAATGAAGTTCTGTCCTCAATTGAAAGATTGAAACTCCTAGTAATTAGGACCTTTTAAGATGAACGCTTTAAAGTCTTCACTTTCAAGTAAGTTGACATCACCGGTATTGACTTGTCCAACGAGACTTAAATTGAAAGAAAATCAAGAACATTTGAGAGGACTTTGAATTCAATATCTAGGCACTTCAAGGTTTGTTTATAATTAATAGATTATGAATTCAAATTTGGAACATGGATAGAAGACATTGACATAAGGTTTGCTGCATCATTTTTTTTCCTTGACCCTTTCTTCAATGAAGGACGAATTAAGAAAAAGGACAATCAAACCATAACTCATGAAGTCTTTGATAATAAGACTTCAAACGTCATTGTTCGCCCCCCCCCCCCCCCAATTTGACCCCCAGGGTGAAATTAAAATTCCGAAACCTTATAGCACATCTACAGGACACCACCAATCATCTTCCAAAATATAATAAGGCTACTGCATAAAATGTAAGATGTGTTCTGGGAAACATGGTCTTTTCCTATAAAAAAAAACCCCCTCATTTTTCGACCCCCATTTGACCCCCAGGATGAAAATAAAAATTCCGAAACCTTATTGCACATCTACAGGTCACCACCAATCATCTTCCAAAAGATGATTAGGCTCCTGTGTAAAATGTAAGTGGAGTTCTTTGAACCAGGGGTTGGTGGAAAAACATCATTTTCGACCCCGATCTGACCCCTAGGGTGAAAATGAAAATTACGAAACCTTATTGCACATCTACAGGACACCACCAATCATCTTCCGAAAGAGGATTAGGCTACTGCGAAAAATGTAGGAGGAGTTATGGGAACCAGGCTTTTGTATAAAAAAAACCCCGTCATTTTTGACCCCCGTTTTGCCCCCAGGGTTAAATTGAAAATTTCAAAACCTTATTGCACATCTATCAGACACCACCTATCATATTCCAAAAGATTAATTGAATTCTGCTTAAAATGTAGGAGTAATTAGATTAAGAAGAAAGTGTGAAGACGGACGGACGGACCAGGGTAACAACAATATACCCGAACTTTCTTTAGAAAGTACGGGTATAATAATGAGTCTTGGAAAGAAAGACGATATTGTTTATACAAGCCTTGTCGGCTGGAACCATAACAAATTGTTTATGTAGTCTTTCCAATTCTTTGACCACCTCCGATTTAGTGAAGGATAGAAGGATATTGCCTTTTAAATTTCTTAAACGATTCCTTAATAGAGTTCTAATTAGAATACATCGTTATTTAATATTAAACATTACATGAAGGCAAAAATATTCCTTTTCATATTTAGCCCAATGGCTGGCATAATCGTCAACAGAATTTATAATAGAAATGAAGTTCTGTCCTCAATTGAATGATCGCTTTAAAGTCTTCACTTTCAAGTAAATTGACATCACCGGTATTGACTTGTCCAATGAGACTTAAATTGAAAGAAGAAAATCAAGAACATTTGAGAGGACTTTGTTTTGGATGTTCAATATCTAGGCACTTTAAGGTTTGTTTATAATTAAAAGATTTGAAAGCAACAGTTTAGGAATATCTGTAGGAAACGCAGGGTGTAGATTTCAACTTGAAATATGGTGGAATACAAGACAGAACCTTTTTATAATTATGTTCTATAAAATATCTCAATTGCATATGGTTATCCAGGAAAAAAAAACATTTTCGAAGTTACTGTTATTTATTAAACGGCTAAAATAGAAATCAAACTATTTGAGCCAGATTTTTTTCCTTTTTGATAATGCTTTTTTTTCCAAGAATGTGCGAATTTCTTTGATTGGGTTGTACATGGACATTTATTTACTCAGGTATGACATCTAAAACAAAATGTTGGCGACATCTACATTTATTTGTTGATCAATAATATCTAAATTATAGAAAAAATAATCTTTTTCTATTCAGAAGCTCCAATTTTGTGAATCTGGATACGCTAAGATGTACATACATGTAATATGAATAATGTTTTTTTTTTCCTTCTATCAAATACTTACTTATTTTTTAAAGGAATAATTGTGCAGTCAGGGTTCTCCACATTTGAAAATTTAACCATGGAGGAAGCTGCGCGAAGGCGAAATGTGACCGAAAACACGAATGCGTGTTAGACTTCCTAACCTTCATTAATCAAAGATTGGTTTCACAAAACTTAACCACTGCAAAACAAAATGTTGAAATAACCAATATTTTTTAAAGCTAAAAAATATAAATAAAAATAAAAGAGAGTATGTATCTTACTTCACAAATGTTTACCAAAATTGGCCAAAAACTATAAGAACATTTTGAAGGAATTTCAAAAAAAATATTTTGATAGAGTAACCATGGCAACATAATTCAAACTGATATACAGAATTGGTGTTGCCTGTTGTATGAAACATTTTAATTAAATATGACTAAAGCTGATAAATGTGTAGTATTTTGAAAAAAAAAAAAATAACAGATATATAAACGAACAGACGAACGAACACCGACATTCTACCAATTAATGTCCTAAGTTTTTTTTTTTTAAACTTCATGGTCTATGAAAACTTAACTGATGGCATGCATGGTAATTTAAGTAATTTAATATAACCAGGGGCGTCATAGCAAAAAGAAATATGGTGAGATTGGATCACCTTGTCTACAGCCTCTTTGGGGGAAAAGATAATCTGAAGTAAATCCATTTTGTATAACACATGATTTAATACCATTATACATGTAAAAGGTTCTAATCCAATTTATAAAAGAAGGTCCAAAATTAAAGAAGTCAAGGGTTTGATATATGAAATTATATAAAAGAGATTGTATCAAATGCTTTTTCAAAATCAATTAACATCAATAGGTATTTGATTATATTCTGTGTAATGCATTATATCATATATCAGTCTAATATTCTCTCCGATAAATCTACCTATAATAAATCAAGTTTGGTATTTGTTTATCAATTTATCCAATTTAGTTTTCATTCGTTCAGCGATGCATCCTGATGCTATTTTATAAACCACATTTAAAAGACTAATGGGTCACCAATTTTTCAGAAATTTTTTCCTTTCCTGCTTTCGGAATACACGTAATGATTCCCAATTTATTTGAATCTGAGAATTGACGTAATTCATTTTAATTATTTATTGCTCTTGTAATAAAGGAGCCAATATCTTTCCAGAACAATTTGAAAAATTCACACTTAAATCCATCAGGTCCTGGACTCTTTTCATTTTTCATTTGTTTTAAGAAATTAAAAATTTCAAGATTTGTTACTGGTCCTTCCAGACTGTTTGATTCCGCTCTACTTAATTTAGGAATATCATATTGTTTAAGTCTTTCATAAAAATTTTCTGACTCTACATTTTCCATTAACAAGATATCAAGAAAGAGTTGATCACTAATGGTAAATTGAATAGCATCATTCTCAAGGCAACTGATTTTTTCCATATTGTCTATTGGGCAGGAATATTGGATTTTAACCTCCTCAATATTACATTTTATTTGTTCTACGTATTCTTTTTCATGTAGCAGAGAATTATTGAATTTCCAGAAACCCTTTTCTTTTTTTAAATTCATTTAATTTACAGTGTAGTAGAACTGGAGAATGATCAGAACAGTAACTACTTTCAAACTTTACACAAGGCATCATAGTTAGCATAGACTCAGATATCAGGAAAAAGTCAAGTCTAGCTTGTTTGAGTGGATTTTTTCGTCTCCAGGTAAACCTTTCTAAATTTGGATTATCTTTTTATATTTATGTAACTTTTTGTATCCCACAAAAAGAATTCCCATGTATCTATTCTTCTGACATGTGTTGACTGTATTTTACTTAAAGCCAGAATTTTAAACATCAAACTATAAGCCTGTATTAATTTTTATAACTTCAGCACCCCAAAGAAGAGCTACGTGTGAGCTTGTGACTGCAACATTTCTCGCTTGGAGCCACGGCCTGTTCCGCCCACTGTCTGTATCTCGGACACATGTGTGGTTATTGCGACAGCCACAAAGTCGCTATAATAATCAGAAGTTAGCACCCCGCTAAAAATTTCCGCTATACGGTACATATATACTGGGGATATGGACTATTTCATGACTATTTTATGATGTTGCACCTTCATGAATTATACAGTCATTTACATTTTGACTGCAAACGATTTTATTAACAAGTTTATAAATGGTTGTTTGGTATTAAAGGAAAGCCAATTCTATTAAAAATCAGTTCTACATTACACGGCGAGCTTTTGGTGGTTGATCTACAATCAACTTAAAGCATACTAACGTTCATTCCAGTCTGCTACCTGTATTACAATCTTTCCAATCTGTCGACTTTCTATCATATCTCTTTGTTTAAATTTTCTTTCTCCTTCTTAATAGAGCTTGCCATAACACCAGAGCTCTTGATCCTAGGAGCATGAATTTTATAATTTTTGAAGGTTCGCCCTTGTTCATTATATCCATGTACTTTGTTGCCTAATAAAGCGGAGGAAAGAAATGTATTTAAGGATTTTTGCAATTCACTATATGTTGAATAAAAGCCCACCCTAACTCCGGCAGAACCGCTGGCCATGGGGCCCTATTTTTTCCCCTTTTTAAGGCGTAATATTTTTCTCGTGTGCTAAATGTTAAATGTCCAAATACCGTACTTTAACCTGTCTTAAGGGGATGAAGGACACATGGTCACATGACTCTGTTTAACTACGTCATAGTCTCCGTTTATATAAGTGCAAAACGTGTAAAGCATCAGTTCTTGTATATTTTTTGACAATTTTTTTCTTTAATTACCATCTAATATTAAAAAAATTGAAAAGTTTAATATTCTTCCAAACGTTAACAAATTATGAAAAAGATTGATCCACTCCTCTGTTTCCCTAAACTGCGTGTCCAATTCGTCGGTGACGTCATACACGATCTGTTAGTACAGCAAGATCATACTCGGTGAATACAGGGGCGGTATTATTATATAAAAACAGGTCATAATCAGTATATGATGAAATATTTTGAGAAACGGGGAGCACAAAAATTATTTTTGCATGGCTGATGACGGGAATCTTATGTAGGTATATCTTATTTCGCTTATTTAGCTTACGTGTGACGTCATAGATGGTTTTACCCGTACTCGAGAAATGTAAACATGACACGTTTTTATCATGCTTATGTCCTCTTTAACGATGCCCTGTGCAATATTGAGGTCAGCTTCACCATTCGAAATTTTTACAGTTAATCAATAATTAGAAGGACTTGCATTTCAACGTAAATTTAAAAATATTGAATGATAGATTTTTTTGTGAATTACGTTTTTTGTTGTTTGAGTTGTCTTAAAAAGTTCGTAATTTTCCCTATCCAGATGCAGTGTGATAGAAGAAACTTGCTTTTTCGAATTTTAAACCCTATTCAAACTCTAAAATATTTTAAAAGATACATGTTCACTTACATATTTTTTTATAATATGCTTTAAAAATCCCATTATGGATAGAGTAAAAAGCCCGGAAACGTGGAGAATTAAAACTCCACTTAGATACTGTAGGGCATAGTATTTGTCAATCAATATCTCTAAAATAAGGTAAGAAACCTAATGATATAACTGCTTTAAGATATGTGGGACATACTTAATTAGAAATATACAAAATATAAAAAAAATTGAATGACAAGTATTTTTTCAGCTAAAGGTCCTTCTTCCCCTTAAAACCATTTCAATTAACACTCATGGGCTGAAAATCCAGCGTAAACCTGACTGATGACAATACAGCATACAAGAACTGGCAACTCTGATTAATATAAGTATAGTCGTATTTGGAAAGACATCTGCTCCAAACCGCCGACAGTGTCGGTATTAAATAAGCTCTCCAAACTTCGATGAGATGCGTTAACGCTATATGCTGGCGATGAATTAAGTATCGAAGTGATTTAAGATAGGATACGCGCGTTAAACTTTTCTTTTGTTAATATTCTCGAAAATCCTCTTTAGCTAAAAAAAGACGCTATATTTGGCTAAATATCGAACACTGAGTCAGATCAAGTAACCAGGTGCTTTTAATTTAGATATACAAATTTTATGCAGTTTTCAATTTTTGGATATGAAATGCACACGCGGTACTCATTGTAATTTAAGATATTGGTATGCATTGCCAAAATTTGGCTAGTGTCCCTCATGCACTATATAGACTAAATATCGACTTATAAATTCTACTATCTTCTACGAGGGGTGATCAAAAAGTTCGCAAATTATCGTTATATTTACAAAACCACAATTCAGATCAGAATGAAATTTGGCACACATTTAGGCGTAAAAATGTTCTATAAATAGCAATGTTAGGTGATGTTTTGTTCCATGTTTGTGACGTCACAATGTGAAAATGACGTCTATATATGGATGACTTGTGACAAAAAATGGTTGACTCAGTCGTACTCGAGCAACGAACGGCTGTAGAGTTTTTCGTATATCTTGGAAATTCCTTTTCAGTAACATATAATAATTTGGCAGGTTTTATGAAGACAATAGACTTGCAAGAAGTTCAATCCTTAATTGGTTTGATTGTTTTATTGAAGGAAGGGAGGTGGTTAAAAATGATGTTTGTTGTGTTGCTTAGTTAAAGAAAGCTGGGAAAGAGACGTGTCCTTAGTTGAGCAATTTGTTATGAAAGACTGCCAAGTTACAGTTAGAAAAATAGTTGAACGCATGTGAGTTAAGGCTTGGTATAGGCGTTTCTATTCAAATGAATTAATAAAAACGCATAACAGGTATATTTATTATTCAGAGAAATTTTGATTTATTTTCATATGCATACTTAGTACCCACGATATGTTATAGCCAGGACACATTATGACTTCATATTATGACGATCTACAAAAGAGCTTCGGCGCAAGGGACTACCCAATTCATTTTTACATAAAAATTGTATAATGCTAAGAAGAATTTTCTTTATATTAATAAAACTGCTGCACAAATCCTAGGCATTTTCTCATTTGATCGGAATTTGAGGAAACTTATACCGAACTGTACATTTTTACCTTTATTCAACTTAAAACTTTACAAATAGAAATTATACAACTGAACTGACGATATTTGTGCAGCAATACCAGCAAACTTTGGAATATTTTGCTCCTAAATATACCCTGTTTCAATTAAATAAAATAGAGCATGCCCTTGTGCCAAAGCATTTATATTGATGTCCATAATAATCTTGTGTAGCAAGGAACAATGACGTCATAATGTGTACTGACTATCTCATGTTGTGGGTACCAAGTATGTATTAGACAATATGTTTTAACTTTCTCTGTATAATAGATATAGTCCTTAGGCATTTTAATTAGATTATTTGGATAGAAACGCCTATACCTAGCCTTAACTCACCTGCGAATATCTTAACAATAATTAAATTATTAAATCCCTAAAATATCGTTTACTTTAGACTTTAAACATATCAGGTATGTTAAAAAGAAAGCTCCCATGCTTTATCCACATTGGATAAACGACGCTCCCAAGACAGAGGACCCGGGTTTTGATGGTCACAATGCTCATTCTGGGAAAGGATATCCTTATCCACCCATCCTATTGCTGAGATTTAGCCATTTCTGACAAATGGACCGTTCTTGTCATACAAAATAGCTTTCGTGGTACGAAATATGACTCGGAAAAATCTTTAAGCTTCTGTGAACAGAACGCTACGGAGTATGTCACGTGACCGCCTGGATGACGTGATTCGCGCATGGGCAGAACGGGGGCAGATGTGCATAAAAATCGGGTGGAGCCATAGTAAGAGCAAAAATAATTCAATTTATATATATAATTTTTTAATTTAATTTTGACTTCATTTTGTGCAAGTGTGTTAGAATTTCGATCAGAAATACGGAGATCATTAATAAATTTAAGCGCAGTTTAGAAATCTGATAACGACGACAAAATGGATTTTGACGTCAGGTCGGCGCAGCGAGCATTAATAAAATTTTGTGTAGGGCTATGGAGAACTCTTTTCCAGACTAAACGGCCTGCTAAAACAATAACAATGAGAAAAAAAAACATGTCCAAGGGTTTTACATTTTATTGGTTTACATTTTTTTCTTACAAATAATTCAACCAGAGTAAAAACAAACGCTCCGGACGACCAACGATTATTACGGAGTAAATTACGTTGACCCGCGATGCATAATCGGTATTGCACCTGTATATGACACTTCATGTACATGTATATTTTATACATGAGGTGTATAAATGAGGTAGCAGGAGCACACATATTATTTTACTTTTTTAAAGAATCGGTTTAGAAAAGAGACATTTGATTTTTAGAGTGTTATATGTAATAACAGAGAAAGAAGAGTAAACTCTTCCCTATATATATATGTACGAGGGCCATTCAAAAATTATGCGGACTCTGCTATTATATACTCTTATAGACGTCACAGAAACATATTTCTTAAAGATTCCAATAAATCCTTGGTAAATATTTTGATTTTATTCAATATGTCTTAAAATTATTGCTGTTTTGATACTGCTGATTGTGATGTACGGAGCACGGCAAAAATGTTGATATACAAAAATGCCGTATTCAATATTTTATTCATTTATTTTCCATATTTCACGATATTATTGAACAATTTTCTCTAAAAATTTCTTTTTATTGTTGTATTATTAAGTATTTAGATTTCTGACGTAATATTTGAAGTACTAAAAGAAATATTGCAATTTTTCTCCAATGTGACCCCTACGAAATCAATTTCAAAAATGACGTCTCGTAATTTGACGGAGCAGCGCACTTTTATCAAATCATGAATCGTGTAATTAATCCATTGGAAATAAATATTTTTTTCAGAATTATGATCCCTTTATTTTCAAACAGTTTCAGACAATTCCAGTCGATAATATTTCCCAACTTGTTATATATTCATCATGGAATTGTTACTAGAGTTTGGGAGCTACGCAGCAAGGTTAAGGTCGCCCATGAAATATACGCCTTTATATATTCAGGGGAAATTAATACAATTTTAATATTTTTTTAAGAGCACTAGTTTTGATAAATGTGAATTGTGGTGTTTG